CTCGGTAGCTGCAACTTCCTGCCTTTGGCCCACCCTGAGACTACCCAACCCAGGGTCCGAAACCCTTACATCCGAGATGCCAAATGCCAAAAAAAGCCGACATCCCAAAACCCCCAGTTCTAAACCCTAAACCCTCAGTCTAAACCCAAAGCCCTGAGCTCTAAACCCCAAACCCTATAAGCTCTAAACCCTTTTGCAACGGCCTTGTCAGATCTCGACCGGACTGATAGACCCCACAGCATTGACCCTAAACCCTTAGCTCTAGACGCGCTCAACTCCAGACCCCAAGCAACATAATGTCGGGGCCTCAATAGTTGGAATAAGGTTTGGGAGCCCATTTTCCTATACCTATAATAAACCCCAAAATAATATTGGTAATTATTTAGGCACCTATGTTACTCTCTCTCTCTCTCTCTCTCGCTCTCTTTCTCTCTCGGGTTTTGGGAGTTACTTACTATAACTATAGTATACTATACCCCCAAACCCTATTCCAATTAGTAAGGTCCCTACACCCTAAACCGTTATAGTATCTCCCTTATAGGACCCTTTAAGGAACCCTTTACAGGAGCCCACAAAGACCCTATTCCAATTTCATTAAGGCCGCTCCCCACATTACCTTCCCTCCCAGCCCTGGGAGACCCTAACCCTACACCCTAAACTCCAAAACCCCAAACCCTAAACCCTAGACCCTAAGCCCTAAACACCCTAAACCCTGAACCCCAAGCCCTAAACCCCAAACCCTAAACCTTTTTACACAGGCTTGATTGGAGCTCGCCCGGCCAAACCCTAAACCCTAAACCTTAAGCCCTAAACCCTAAAACCCTACACCCTTCCCTCCAAGCCCTGGGCGACTAAGTTCGCCGAGGCGTCGGGCTCCCACTGGCCCTCAGAGAGGCCTCAGAGTTTGTTCAGGGTTTAGGGGTTTTGAGGGCTTTCAGGGCTTAGGGGTTGAGGGCTTTTAAGGCTTTTCGGGCTTTTAATAGGGCTTTAGAGTTTACGGGTTTAGGGCTTTTGCGGCTTCTATGTTTTTTTGCCTCCCACCTAGCTAGGACATTTCAGCGTTTGGGGTTTACGCTCTCACATCTCGGACAAGCCAGGCGAGGAGTGATACTAGTACAGCGAGCAGGTTTTGGTGTTTCGGGTTTGGGGCTTTTGGGGTTTGGGGCTTTTGGGTTTTTTTTTCCCACCCGCTTCGCTGACTAGGTCGCACTGCAGGGAACAAAGCTTCGAGTTTAGGGTGTAGGGTTCAGGGGGTGGGGCTTATGGCTTCCAGCGTTTTTTTCCCTCTTACATTGTTGAGAACTATGCTCGCGGCGAGGTCTGCTTTGGAAGGAATCTAAGAAAGCAAGCAATGACGGTTTTCTTCTCAAGAAGGAATCAAGTCTTGCCGAAGAGAAGACAGACACCCAAGATTCAAATACTAAAGATATAGAGACCCTAAATTAAAGACTCGATGAAATTCCTCAAGTCAGCAGGAACAAGAATCCCTCCATGATTATCCTGTGTACATCATGGGTTTAATGCCATCTACACCAGGAACAACGTTTAGGGATTAGGCTCAAGCTTTCGGGGTTCGGGTTCAGGCTTTAAGTTTTCGGGTTCAGGGTTCAGGGTTCAGGGCTGTTGTGGAGCAGAAAAAAAGCTAAACCATGATTTACCTCATTCATGCGCTAGACGGGGTGCCCTCTTTGGGATGGAAGCCGCGGAGTTTAGACGTCGAGGATGTGAAAGTCGAGGTCAGGCGCAAGGTTCAAACTGCTTTCTGATTGAAAGCCCAGTGGTTGGAGCACGTCAAAGGCGCACAACCACACGGGGCAGCCAAATCCCGATCAACCCTGAACCGGCATAAATCCTAAATTCTGGGTTGAACCTTTGTCCCCGACCCCTACTCAAATTCAAGCCCCGAATCCTCAAGAACCCTTCTAGAACCCTCATAGCAACCCTGCTAAAGCCGCAAAGGACGGAACCCTTCTAGAAGGCTCATAGCAACCCTTTTTTCAAGTTTCCTGGGCCGCCCAACAACCCGCGGGCTTCAGTTGACATCGGTCGACCTCCTGAGGCTTCAGAAAGATGGTGTGGGTTTAGGGTTTGGGGTTTAGGGTTTAGGATTTAGGGTTTTTTTTTGTTTAGGGTTTAGGGTCTAGGAGGGTCTGTGCGTGTGTAGAAACAGATTGAGCTGGATAGTCAGATTCTGGGTTTTAGTATACTTATGTACCAAAACAACTACTGTGGTAAGAGACGTGCAGCGAATACGAACGGTACGATTGCTACTCGTTGCGGCGCCAATAGCACATGTCTATATGCATGAGGGACTTACTTCAAGAGCTGTCGGGCATCGAAGTTTCGGATGCTGGCCCCTGGAGCATACTGGAGTTTTCGAAAGGACTGTGAAACTTACAGTTTAGGCTCTGATTGCCATGGGGGTGCAGTTGAGGATTTTATCGGGGAGTGGGAGTCCAGTGGGCTCGCCCCGGCTACCGTGAACGAACGCGGGATTGCCGCTAGGGCGCAGGGCTTAGAGACTTAGAGTTCGGGCACGGTGCCTGCAAAAGGTAAGCAATGCCGAAGTGCGTCGAGGGCGGCTTGCTTATGCCCGTGGCCTGACCTGAAGTGCCATGTACACTGACGCAGCTGCCCTAACACGAATCATTGTCGTAAATCCGGCTCCCTGAACTCTCAATCCAATCTACAAGCCTGGAAGAACCGATCCACGTGCACGATCCGTAGATCCTGAAACCTCGACCCTTTACCGCATACCCCAACCCCTGGATCAAGCCGAACGTTCAAAGCCCTCCCCATTGGGAGCCTGCGACATCTCCACAGCGTGACCTGGCCGTCGACACCGCATGGCCCCTTCTCAAGAGGTGCCAAAGTCTACAATCAGAAAACTCGAGAACCCAGGAGGTGGCCTCTTCGATCGATAGCCCACCCTAAACCCTAAACCCTAAACCCTAAAGGCTGGCTGATGTAGAGCTTCCAAGCAGCGATCCGAAACCCTAGGCCCTCGCATGCAGGGCTACGGGAGCTTGGAGAACCCCGAGAGGGTAGAAGACAAGACTAATGTAGGGGCCTGAATAAATAGAATAGGGTTTTTGGTCCCTTTCTAGTATAGTTATAACAAGGACCCCCCGAAACCCTATTCTAATTATTCACGCCCCTATAGTACCAGAGCAACTCGAAGCGCGAGAAAGTTGGGGAGTCAGGTTGATCCTACGCAGTGTGCCCAAGCGCCCGCCCAAACTGAGCTCCGCCACTCAAACCCCCCACGCACGGAAGAAGAAATCCCCAAACCGAGGGCCGTAGGTCCACTGCGAACTCCGTAGTCACCACAAGCACATATCGACTCATAGGCTGCTCTTCTCGGGGCTATGACACTTCTCTGACAATCAAGATTCAGACTTCTTGCTGATATGACCATGTTCAGACTGCCCGTGGCTACCCATACCATCCTTTGTGTGATCATCGTCATCATCGCCCTTATCATCATTCTTGGTTTGATGTCGGTCGGCTCCCGTCGTGACTGCTCTGTCAGGTTCTGATTGTCACCATAAAAGTTCACAACAGATATGGCAGCAGAAGTGTAGCAATTTAGCAGTAGGAGGAGCAAGAGCGGCGACCCCATCAGTACAAAGCCTTACCTACCTACTCCCGCTCTTCCGAGCACCGTTCAGGACCGCTTCGCTGCCAAATCTGGCCGGGCAGACAATCCTGCGTCTTGTCACAGAGCCTGCTGCACTCGATCCAGCTTCGAATTAGATTTCGGGGTGCGGATTTCCTCTTAACTAAGCTTGTTGTTCATCGCTTCAGGTTTGGGACAACCTGAGCGCACGCACAAGGAACCCTAAACCCCGCTACACCATAAGGAACCAGCCAGGACCCTGTGAAGTCAAGAAGTTGTATCGAAGCCACGGACGCTAAACGTAAAATCGTATCCAAAAACGGAAGAGAAAAAAGTAAAAATAAAAAAACAATCTCGTATCCAAGCCATGGTTGCCATGCCATACTGCAATCACGCTCCATATCTGGGCATCCACGGCACAGGTTCTGAGACAGGGGTTTAAGGTTCGGGGCTCAAGGTTTAAAGATTTTTGGTGAAACCCTAAGCCCTGAAACCTAAACATAAACCCTTAACCGTCATTGGGGCTTTGGGTTTCGCGATAAGGGCGGACAAGCTTGGACCCGAAGAATGAGCTTTGACCACTGTTTCTTGTTCGAAATGTGAAGGCTGCCTGCCTTGAAGATCTGACATCGCCCACACGTGATGTGAAATAGCGGTGAACCCAAACCCTGAACCCTTAACGCTAAAGTTGAACTTTAGCTTTAAGGGTTCAGCGTTTAGGAACTGTTCCTAAAACCTCCCAACCCGAAACCCTCAACCTTAAAGCCTAAACTTGAGGGCTTGGCTGCATGCAGCGGTTGACGTCCAAGCAGATGGCCGACCGGCCACTGCGGAAGGACCTTGTTTCAGGGTTTAGGGTTTAAGCGGGGTTTTGCTGTCAGGTTCTCTATGATATGTTAGGGTTTCGGCTTTAGGTTTTGGGTGTAGGGGCAGCAAAGCGTCGGAGGGCTTCAAGTAGTTTCTGTGTGCCAGTTTACTGAGGCACATATTGATGGTGACACACACAGAAACAGTTCAGGTGGTGGGCACTTCTCTAAATTTGGGTCCCTTTTTAAGTCCCCAATATAGTACGGCACCCTTATAAACAGGATCCTAAAAGGGACTCTAATGTAGAGTCGGGGAGCGGGTTGCAGTTCATGGCTCAGGGCTGCCACTGTCGCTGTTGAAATCAGACTCCCCGAACCCCAGAACCCTTGTCCCTAAATTCTCAACTCTTCTGCAGCGGAATGTTGGCATGCAACTTCTAGGCTGCCAAGAAGGGTGCATTGCTTGCACTGTGACGCTTCGAAAGCAAATTGCTTGGCTCATGGCCGGAGCGGTGTTTGTCCTCAACCCAAGAATCCAAACTAGCATCCAAGAGCCCTGACGGCACATGTTTGGCTCACTTTCGGCTCTTCTTCCGCTTGCCACCGGCACGTGCCGTAGCTTCAACCTCAGGCGGATCGGAGAGCGACTGGAAGGTGCCCTGCGCAGGGTTCATGACACTGCTGTACAGCGTAATGCCCTTTTCAAAGATAGGGTACTTCCAGAGAATCGCCCAGAGGTCGGGCTCTTCCGGGCAACCCCGCTGCTTTTCGGCAGCCTGCAACATGGACTCGGCTAGCTGACAGCGCACCAGGGACTGCTGTGTGTCGTTGGCCGGATCCGAGTCCCAGTGATCCATGTTGGCTTGGGTCAGATATGGAGACTCCTCAGGGACAGACAGTTTGGGACGTCAGTCCTTGGGAAGACTCACTCACATACTTAATGTAGGGGCCTTAATAATTAGAATAGGGTTTTTGTGGTATATTATACTGTATTTACAATAGGGAACGCCCAAAACAGTATAGGTAATTCTTAAGGCATCTTCTCCCAGCCTCCAGCTCCCGTCTGGCCACTTCCCCACACGGCGCGTTCCGAGTCACCTGCACGGCCTCGCCCGCCGCTGACACCACCTGGACGTTGAACCAAAAATGAGAGAGACCAAGGCCGAATGACGTAATTCAGAAATGTCAGATATTTCATATAAACTACAGTGCAGTTTAATATGACACATGTAATGTACTATAAGATATATGCAGTCGAAGTTTAGAAGATGTGCCTGCATCCTCCGTCTCGGTACACGCCTTTCTGCCTGCCTTGAAGCGGAAACCGTGAACGTTGTATCTGCGAAGGAGCTACTTTGGACGTTCATGGTCAGTTATACGTAGGGTGATAAATACGTGGTACAACCATAGTTGCGACCCATATTACAGGACTAATAAGCCCACTTATTACTACCCATGAACCTCCAAGTACTGCAAAAACCAAAGGTGTTCGCGGAATGCACAGGCACAATGCTTCATCCTCAAGCAAGGCTGCTCCTTTCGGTGTGCATTGGGCATAGTGTGAGTATCTAGCACCACCCCAGTTTCCTAAACTCCCTAAACCTCTTATCCACACCCAAAACTCCCGAAAGCCCTCCAGCCCTGCACCCTAAGCCCACCAGGCAGTAGAAGGGCGCCATGGAGGGCACCGAGGCGACGAAGTTTACGAAGTCGCTGTAGGAACGGCTCTGCTCTAAGGCGAGCCTTGCAGAGCTGCGCTTCATCATCGCAAAAGGCTACCAGAGGGGGGGGGTTCTTTAAGGGTTGCTACAAGGGCTACGACCCTAAGGGTTGCTATAAGGGTTCCTATAGGGGTTGCTGCAAGGTTTACTATATGGGCTGCTACATGGTTTACTGTAAGGGTTGCTATACGGGCCCCTATAAGGTTACCCTAAAAGAGTTGCTAGAAGGATTGCAATAAGGGCTGCTACAAGGGGTCTATAAGGGTTACATCCCGGGTTCTCCAGTTGACGGTCTGGGGGTTTGGGGGACAGACGAAGACAACGACAAAAAAAAACACCGGACAAGACACAACAAGCTAAGACTTGAACAGGGTCGGCCTGCAGGGCAGGTTAACCTTGAAGCTGGAGATGCGGATGAAGGTTACGATAAAAAAAGATCTAGGCAACAAGAAATACGAGCTCCTTTGAAATAACAACACCAAAAACATGTGTACTGTATGCATATAATATAATTATATGTACATATGCATATATGCATACATACATACATACATACATACATACATACATACATACATGCATACATATATATATATATATATGTGCGTGTATATATATTTATATATATATATATACTTATATATGCGTCCGCGTGCCGTAATGAAGACTAGGGTACGAACAAGCCAGGGTAAAAAATGATGAGGCAAGGTCGGACTAGACTTGGCTACACTGGACTAGACAACATCAGATCAGGTCAGCTCAGACCGGATGCGGTGAGACTATATGAAGCTCCATATTGCGACCACGGCTAGATTGGCATCAGAGATGCGAGTTAATGTTAAAGGTGCGGGAGCAAGAAGGATCAGGAAACGCAAGACAGAGATCCAGCCCCTGCCATTCATTCAATTGTTCGTGCGGCGCCCTGCTCGGCGACTCCAGCACTCAAGCACCAAACCTTGCAGCCTAACGCACCTTTTGGACTTCCAAATACATGTGTTAACCCTCGGCTTGCATCTCCAAGCAACCAGCTCCCAGTCTTGCATCCATGACAGCTTTCAACTAGTAAACCTGCATCCAGAAAGAATGCAAACTTACAAAGATCAGAACATAACCCATCCTGACGGCGCAGCCAATGCTTCATTATGCCCGGAAGTCTACCTGTTCGGCTCCGATGACGACTGCTACGATGACCATCACTGCCATGGTGAACATGATAGCTGCTACCACTGGTCTTCATCCATACAAGTGTCCTCATGTGTCTGTGTCCTCTTAGAACTAGGACCCCCTACAGACGACCCTGTCGGAAGAACTTGCTCTGGGGCAGCCACTTCTCTTACGGTTTCGGGTTTAGGGTCTAGGGTACAAGGTAACAGCTTCCAGGTATTCAGGCGACACAGCTCAAAGCGGAGCCTGGAACACCATTGGACTCTGAACTGTTCAGGCCTCAAGCCCCAAGACCTGGACCCTGTAAAATCCTACACCCAACACCCTTTTCCCCTAAACCTAAACCCTAAA